GGGTTATAGTTTGAGGATTTGGAAAAAACTAAGAATAATAGTCAAATCGATAGTGTTATTAATTTTGTTTATCACAAAAATATTAAATAATTTGACGTAACTTTAGTAGTCATTCCATAGAAAAATATAACGAGATAAAACGTTAGTACAATAGTAATAAGTTGTGACAAATTTATTACACCTTTTCGTTATAAATTGTAACGATAAATTTTTCTCATATATTACTATGATATCGTAACTGATTTTTAGTACCAATATCGACACAAACCGATACTTGCAACTTCGTCATGAATACGTTAAATATAGTGACAATACATATGGTAATTTTTTCGTCATAGTTGTCAAAATTTTATGTTTGTCACAAATTTAGTCATTAATTATCACAATATTTGGTTACGATTTTATCCGTCACATTGTTGTGACAAAACAACTATGAATTTGAGACATTAATATTTAGGTCACAATATAGTATCTAAATCGTCACAAGTTTATGAAAGAAACTTTTCGTCTCAAATTTTTCGTCACAATAACTCAATTTTTTTTGTAGTGATATTAATTTGCGCAGTCCAAGATGATATAAAAAATTAGATCAATACAAGACAGTTATCGACAATATATAACTGTTGATTATCTGTTTGATAACTTTGCGAAATAAAAAAATATAAAAATTGGTTGCAGCATGTGATGTGTTATACTTATAGTAGCTATCAAGTCACTTACTACCACAATTTTGTTACACAATTATGGTAATATTTATTACCAATAACTTATCATTTATTAATACTAATCTGTGACAAACAATTAGTCACTGTTATCATTATAAACTAAGACTTACATTTGTGTCACAAATTTGTAACTATTTTACAACGTAAATTGGTCACAATATCGTATCAACCGTTACGATTGCCATTTTAGTCACAATATCTGACAAAATTTCAGCTACAAATTATTTCATCACAATATAATGACTAAATAGTTACATATTTGTGACATATAAAGTTTAATTATAATATCGTATCTAAAATATCACAAATTTGTGACGAATATTTTATATCTCAAATTTCAGTAACAATAACCCAATTTTTTTTGTAGTGAAAGATCAAGATGATGGGAAAGCAATAACCTGAGCAATGAAGTTGTGGTTGATATATATACTCATGTTCTTTTTACTTTTTTTTTGGAAATTCTCTATAAAACATATATAACATTACGTTATAAATAGAATTTGAGGAAAAAAAATAAAAAATCAATAATAATCGATGACAATCCATAGGAATCCATAACGATCCATACAAAATATTTGATAAGAATCTTTTGAAATTTGTGAAACTGCACTAAAATTTGCAACATCCACATATTTTAGAAAAATTTTAAATTTTTACAAACTCATTCTCCAATAACACTCTATAGTGTCTTGTAAGTATTGATTTTTTCAAGCCAAAATAAAATACTAAAATCTATCTAAGTGCAAATATTTTTTTTTTGAGAAATTTGCACTAATAACATATTTGGAGAAAAAAATAAATCTATAACATATTATTAAAATATTATTCGTAGTGTGAGGATAAAATACCAAATACTTATTCTTCCACTTTAAACTCTAACACTCGATATCTACCACAATAAATATATTTAATGTACAACTCTCTCTTTCTTACTTTATACATTGGGAAAATAGATTTGTTGACATGTTTTAAATGTTTTCAATCATATCTTTATTAATGAATATGTATATCCCATAATTCTTTTACTCTAGAAATTCGTTTGGTCGTATAACTTGTTAAAATTAGTTAACTTACGTATTTTATCAATGAATATGGCATAGTTTACATAATTATGAGAAGTATTCAACTGCATATATATATATCGCAACTTCATACAAATAGTTGACTAATTTAGATGTATAATAATTTCCTTTGGATAATTTTGTCAAAAAGTCGACTACATTGGTGTAAGTATAACACTTGCTAAACTAAATTAATATTTATACGTAAGATAACTAATTTTCTATTGTCATTTAAGAAAATAAAATAATTTAACTATTACCGATTTT